TGATGTTGCGCACTAATGGCATAATCACGAGCCGTTTCTGACGAGACCTCGTGCAGCTGCTGCCCGTAGCATCGGCGAGATGGGCAAATCTTGGGGAACCGCCTGGGAGAACAGTCACCACTACAAGTACGATAATATAAATTGTCTACTGCTCCTCGCGCAAGGGACACTGGCCGTGCCTTTCTCTTTTAACTTTTTGAGGCCACTTGAGGTCGGGAAGGCAAATGCATCAGTCACCATCCTCGCACTCAACGGCGATCGAGGCCTGCGCTGCACGGGGCGCACTCCTCCTCCCCCGTCGCGGGCCGGGTCCATTGGACGTTCACGAGGAATCAGGTTTAAGGGCGCTTCAACAGCTAATGCCATTGGAGCCCATGTCGAATAATTTCAACAACAGTATCTACTGTGACAATGCCAAGCCAAACATTTTTAATGCATGGAGAATGTGTATGAAAAAACTGTAATGATTGTTTCCAATTATAAAACTAGTGGTGCTACGGAATGGTATAAACTTTTCCGTATTAGTTTTCCATTTGTTTTGCTTTTCACTACCTATGCGATATTGCCATATATACTTGCCAGCTGCCATCTATCACCGCCCCAAGTACATTTTTGACATTTTCTTAATGTTCTCATAATTCTAATTATTTTAAGAATATTAAATAACAATAAAATCTCGTCCTAATTGGCAATTTTCTTTGAACAACTGTGAGCCGTTTTTAAAGAAAACGGCGCTTGAACGCTACTGTAAATTCGAAATTTGAATATTTTTCACAGAAAAGTTTTGAGTTTTCAACAAATTCATTTAATCAAAAAACAGTGTATTTTATTAGAAGTCATTTGAAGCACATTAACTCACAAATACAACAGTATTTACAAATTGCAAGAAATGTGCGCATTAACGGCTTGAGAGAGAACTTTATTTTTTTTGTATTTTTTTTAAAATTGCACATACTGCTCGCAATATTGCCCAAACTATTAAAATTTTTAAAAAAATGTTCACGACTTCAATGAAAGAATTAAGTATGAGCAACAAATTGCATTTGAAGGAAAATTCTCTACCTTCAATTTTGTAGCTGTAGGAAGATTCCATTTTCTTTTCGAAAATTCACGGTTAACATCGGACATATGCCAAATTTATATGTATATTTTACACTATTCTTACAAGAAATGTAAAGAAAAAATTTGGAGCTATTTTTGAAAAAGAAATGAAAATGTCCGGGGGGTTAATATAAAGTACTCCCAAATTTTAAAGAAGGTTTTTTCAAAATCTCATAGCTCCTTCTCAAGCGAGATGGACAAGATTTCTTCAATTTGGAAAAAAATCCTCTTCTGGGTTTAGGTGCTGGTGTTCACAGACGGACGGACGGACAGACAAGAACCGCTTTTTCGGTATCAGGGGATCACATAACGTGTATTTCCGTTTAAATCTCGAAATCGATTTTCCGCAGCATTACATAACTTTCCCTATATTACGTATGTCATTCCATATATACGTATGTATACAGGAAAGTAAAAAGTATTTGAAAGTAAAAAGGCCTTAAGTAAATACGCTTTAAAATCGCTAACCGAAAGCAATTAGCATTATTCTCATCTTTCAGACAAGGCTTTCCTTCTCTCGCTAAAAGCTTGCAGAGACGAGTATTCGTCATTGTTGCTACAATTAATTCAAATTTGGTGCCATTCTTCGAACATTCAGTTTCGTTACCCTTTGAAGGCATTTAAGAAAGAAAGATGGTACATTTCAAAATTTCCGCGTTCGATTTTAATTTTGTACAAAAAACCAGCGAATTCTTTCACAATTGAAAAAAAATAAATTGTACGATGTTCTTTGCATTGACGCTTCAACTGCTTGAAAAAGTCACCAATAGATTACACCACCCCCTGAGCGGCCGCGACGAAATAGTTGCCCACTGTCAACCAGGGATCTAATTTTTTCCACATCATGCGACGACCTCGCATTGTTTGAAAATCAGAGGAGCCGCCACCATTTTCGTAGCGACCGTGCAGAGAACCACCCCTCCCGCATTAGCCCCTGCTCAAGGGCGCCTTCACACGGAGGCACCGCTGGCCGCGAGAGCCAACTCTGGGTGCAGGCGGAAGAACACGAGGCAGAGGCGACGATTCTGCCACAAATGGATTTTTGATAGCAAGGTCCCACAAAACGGGGATTCAAACACAGGAGGTTCGAAAAAGTAATTTATTGTATACAGCAACAGGAGTTATACATTTTCTTCGATTTCAGAGCGCCACAACACGCAGTTTTGTGCCGAAAATTCGCCGGGTTTTCCGACAGCATTACAATACGCTATGCTAGTAAATAGCAAGTGAAAAGTTAACTAGAGATATTCCAGAATGGCACAGATTTCTTCGTAATAGTTACCTAATTTCGTTGGTTTGGGCTAGCTTTTCGGCCTTGCCCAATCCTCTAGCCAATTTTCATCCGACGCCGCCCTAAGTACATTCATATTCGTTGCAGTTTTCTAATTTTTCACTTTCCTAGTGGTAGGACTGAAATATTACTTCACGAGTATTATAGAAGAGTAAGACCTCATCCTAAATAGAAATTTTCATTGAAAAATTTGGAGCCATTTTTGAGAAAATGGCTGAGTGTTTATGGAAATAAGCATTTCGATGCTCATTTTCATCCAAAATTTTGCGATCTTGAGAAACTTCATTGGAAATTATTTGAAGCACTCGTTTACAAATGCAATAATCCATACAAGAAACAAAAATTTATATTAATACTAATTATAAATATAAGTATCGTAAGATATTTTTAAAAAAATACATTGCTGTAGTTTTTGTAAAAAAAAGAGCACATCAAAATTAACTTGCAAAGCCCATTTAACAATAACAGTACAATAAATTTACAGAAAAATTTTGAGCCGTTTTCGAGAAAATGATGATTGCACGTTTCTGAAAATGCGGAATTTCGAGCTCATTTTATCAGAAAACTTTTGAGTTTTCAAGAAACTTTAAGCTATCATTTGCAGCACATCAGACGCACTCCTAAGAGCAATAATGCATACAAATCGCTGGTAACGTAAATATTGACTATGTGAGGGAAATTTTAAAAAGTTACAAAAGTGTACATTTTGCCAAAAGAAGAGTAGAGCAAATCGCGTTATTGTCATTTGTTGTTAAAAGATGTTGAAAGAAAAAAATTGTAGTCATTTTTGAGAAATTCTTGGTTTTAATTTTTTTTAATACTGCCCAAAAACTAATATACATTTTCTTGAAAATTGTAGGACATAAATGAAAGAACTAATTATGAAAAACAAATTATATTTGAAGCAAAACTATCCATCTGCAATTTTGTATATTGAGGAAGTATGCAGGAAGACACAGAAAAAAAATAACTTGCAATTTTCGGTAACACAGTAAACAGTCAAAATGACCTACGCCACCTTTGTGAGTATTTCACTCAGTTTTGACAACAAAATTTAAAGAAAAAAAGAGAGTCATTTTCGATTGATTCATTGATTCCGGGCGCGTCATTATTCCCGTAGGTAAAGTACATGTTTTTGCTCGGGATGTGGCGGGCCGGCGGCCTACTGTCGGCTAGCGGAGTTTTCCCAAACAGGTATCTCCCACCAGCGGGGCACCGCCCAAGACGCAACAAGCTCTAAGTTCCCGACCGGTCTCCCGGCATGTGTGGGAGTGTAGTGCATGTTAATTTAAGTGCGTGTGAGGGACGAGGACGAGGAAGAAGAAGAGGAAGAAGAAAACCTCGCGCGCGGTCCGTGACATGTTGGTGAGGGTACTGCTTTGGCATTTGCCTGGTATTGATCAGAAAACTAGCGATCAGAGCAGCTTTCCGCTAGAATTATTATCTAGACTGAATTCGACCTAGCTAAACAAGCTAGTGTCGAAAATCTTTCCACCGTAGGGACTCGAACCTAGGACCTCCCGGTCAGAGGGGCTTCAGGGATGGCAGTTGATGCCCTGAACCATCTCTCCTGTTACCATTTTCGGGAAAAAGTTCCATTCCAAAGTTCCAAAAATTCATCTTAAGTCCCCTCAAAATTAAAAAATGTAATTCAAAATCGCAGAGCTTCGAATGACGCCAAATCGACCAGTAAGTATACAGTTTGGAAAAATTGTCTATGCATAATTTAGCGAGCTAGTGTTGTTCAGGGAGGGAGGGAGGGAGGGAGGAGGAGGGAGGGAGGGACGGACGGAAATCAAACGGACGGAAATCAAACGGACGGACAAAAATCATTGACTTGTGCTTCAGTTTTTATCTCCAAAAATGTTTTCCTCTGCAATACATAACTTTATCTATAACCACATTTATTACTCCATATGTGTGTATGTATAAGAGAAGGTAAAAACTATATGCAAAAGGTTATGATGCCCTAATACACAGAAAATATTGTGTAAAGAAAGCTATATTTCTCTAACAACATAGTTGTATGAGGGTGTCTACAATTTTTTTAGCTTTTGCAATTTCTGGAATTCTAGAGATTTTAAAATCAGACCTGTACCATACTATAAGACCAACTTTGCTCTATTTGAGGAGTGGGAGGGATGAAGAATGAAAAACGTGTTGGGTCTCATTTTTGAGAAAATTTTGAGAATGTCCAACGAACTTTATGAACAGTACACCTGAAATTAAAAGATCTGCTCCAAATTTCAAGGGCAGTAAAATCATTCAGACAGATAGGCAATAGATATTTTTGTGAAAACACTACAGTTTAGGCAGTAGTGTGGTTCAAATGGACAGAACAGACAGATGATATAAAAAAGTATCTTTTTCAAATCAGACCTTCACTTTGACTCTACTATGTAAAATATGAAGTAATATTCTATATATATGAGAAAAACATTTTAGCAGTATTATCCACAAAATCTTCTGTCAAAATCCAAGCTTTCCAGTATCATTACATAAAGTTCTCTACACAGTATTTTAGGTAATAAAAAAGAAAAAGTAAGTGGTGTAAAAATCTGTACAATTTTACCTGTTTGTGCAGCAACAATGCTGCGAACATCTGCCAGAGAAAGATTCCTGTTTGTCAGAATTCGAAAGGCCATGCAAACCTAAAAAATACAACAATTTCATATAACAGACATATTTCACCTCCCTCAAAACTTTTGTTTTAAACTATATTATATGAAGTGACAAGAATACAAATTTTTAACTTACATCTGCTAAGCACAACTCGCCAGAATTTGTAGTATCCAGAGCATCAAAAGCTTCCCGCAGCTTTCTGAAACAAAATACAATTTTTTCCTTTAATGCAAAAAAAATGTTGGTATAAGTTGTGAAAATATACAATGTTTCAGTTGTTAGAAGTGATCAGGAGATAATGAGTTTCATCCAATGTAAGAGCTTATTGAGTTTTACACTTACATTAATTTGTCTCCTAACTGTACATGGGCCATCTTCACTGGCTGAGCATAATCTTTAAGACCTAATTCCTGAACACTAATGTTTTCTCGTAGAACCTGAAATTAATAAAATTGCAAATTAAATCAAAAGTGTATATGAAAATAATAAAAAAAACAAAAAACAAATCAAATATTTATGATAATAAAGAGGGAAAAAAATACCTTAGCTGTGCAATTCAAGGCAATGGGGATGCTTTCAAACACAGGGATGCCCTGCCTTTCTACTAAATCTTGAAGAACCATTTGCCCAGTAGTAAGGTCTTCAAACTCTCTGGAAACGAAATTATTATTTTAACTGATCTTAAGAATTTTATACACAAACTTTTTATCATTTTTGTATACTCAGTTTTAGGTATTAATTTATTTTTATAGGTGTACAGGACAGAAAAACTAATGCATATCTTACTCTGGTGAAATGGATTCTCCCCAAATTTTTTGTCCAGGGCCTTCATATGCATGGATGACAAGGATGAGTTTTCGATGCCTGCCTGACATGTGAGCTGCTTCAATTATAGATGCAACACTTCGCGTCTGATTATCAATTACAAAAAATAAGACAGCTGCATTTTGTTTTGCTTGATGCTCTAGTTCTATCAATTCGGGACCCCAATGTGACACTTGCTGTAAAAAACGTAATTGATAATTACAATTCCTCTGAAAGTGGACAACATTAGTCACAACATCTTACACTGCTAATATTACTGTTACTTACAGGATTATAGTAAGTGATGCCTAGACGTTTCAACATTGGAATAGCTATATCATGTCGCCATGTAGTAGGGTTGCAGGAACCGCCCAAAAACACTTCATACTTTGGAATTCCTTCTGGAAATAAATCATGCCACACATAGTTGTTTGTCTATAACATAAATTTAGATGTTCATTAATTTTATTCTCAAATTTTCAGACTTCATACAAGACCTTTTACAATACAAAACCAGCTCCTTTTATTACTTGCATCACTTTCTTTACTTTTACAAAGTTTACAGAAACCAACGTAACTTCATTGAATAAAATCCCAGTTTGTTCCTTCTAAAAGTCGGCAATAACTAATCTACTTCAAATCACACTATGCTAAGATTTTTGATTACTTGTGAAATTGTTATTAACAGAACAAGTTGATTTTGAGAGCAAATGCCCATATTAAGACTATTCTTTGACAAAGACTATTTAATGTAGCCTTACTCGACACTCTTCTGTTTCTCCTCTTCTTGTCCTCCCCATCTCTTTCCAACAAGCGGGACAATTGGATGGGTCGAGGTATACTGAAAAGACAAGCAGATTTGTCATTTCTCACTCTTTTCTCTCACATGTTTCTCACAGTGCTTTCACTTTTACTTCACTTTTCAATCACGAGTTCACACATCATTCCATAACTTTCAACCTGTTCTTGTGTATACTCTCTCATTCATTCACACCATCCCTAGACACACATGATATATTTCTTTCAAAATACCATACATCACTTTTATTGAATATATTTTTTTTACTTAAATTATCTTTTGCACAAACATATCTGTTCCTTCAATAGTATTTGCCAAATCTACCTGTTCACTAGTGAAAAGAAGGACTGGATAATGATATTCATTGAAGATAGACTTATTTTCACAAATATACGATCTGAAGGGATCATCATAATAGTGGTATAAGCCAATGTTTAAGAAAACAGAAAAAACGAGTTAAAGTTCACAGATGTGGTAGGAAGAGTTGTAAAGAGAGAAAAATAGTGACTTCATTCTTAACTTTCCACATAAAGGTGTACAAAAACATCAAAAACAATGTTGCAAATGATATTGACTGTTCACGTGATGCATGATATATTACAAAAAAAAATATTGGAAATAGTATGCATTTACTTTATAGCAAAGAGACAACCAACGCTCTAAAATTCTACAGAAGAAAACTGGCAACATCAAAGTACAAAGATAGTTCTTCTCAGTTAGATAACAAATGGTGTGAATAACTTATTTTTCATTTTGGGGGGATTAGATCATTATTGCGCTCAACTCTTCATTGCTTAAGTTGTCGTGTGATCATCCTATATATAAAAAATCAATCCTTGTTCTTTGCGCTGCCGTACAGTTTATCCGACTGCGATAAAATTTCGACAACTTATTACTTGCTCTTGTACGAAGAATATAGGCATACCGCAATGAAAATGAGCGTATGGCTGTCGCATGCAGTCGCCCGTTGATGCTTTTATGCGCTTATGCCGACTCGAGAGCCCCTGCACACAAGATCTACGCAACCCGCCGCATCTTAAAATGTTAAGCGCGTCTTCATTGCAGATTCTGCCTCTGCGATTGTGAAATATCGAACGGAATTACGAGGGTTGCCTCTTATATTTCAGGATTAGAGAACAAACACAAATATTAATCGTCGAAAATCACTTTATTGTTTTTTAAAATATTCCCCATGAAGATCTATACACTTTTGCATGCGTTTGAACCAATTGTCGAAGCACTTTTGCCACTCTGATTGAGGTATCTTCAAAACGCGCACTCTGAATACAGCAACCGTTTCTTCAGGTGTCGAAAAACGTTGACCTCTCAGTTTGTTTTCGAAAATGTTCACGATTTAATTCCATTTTTGGACCAAATGAATCTTTTAAGTTACTGTAAACAACACAAATAGTGCTCGTATGTCAAAACGTTCTGAGAACGTATAACCTCAAAACATTCAACTTTACGATAAAGCTGTCAGTTGCCAGAGTGCAACACCAGGGTTGCCAAATCCCGACACATAAAAGGCAACCTTCGTATTACTTCGTTTTCTCTGACGAGAAAATCAAATTTCTCCAAGACAAGGTCATAGCAAATGCAAATACCAACTTACTTCAGGGAGAATGTTTTAACAATAGGACACTTGGCAACCATTTCCAAACTAGGACACAGAACAAACTAAAACTCGCGAGAAAGTCACGTCAGATAATTTTTTTGCAGAGCTTAACGAAAAACATGATTAACAATCACGTGAACAGTTGCGTGTGAAGTGTAATAGATTGCAATAGTAAAGAACTGCCGTGTCCCCTAGATCATTAAAAAAGTTTAAGGCAACATTTCTCATTCTCATCCATCAGACGTTCACGACCTTGTAAATATGAGCTTAAGACTAACAAAGACAGAAGGAGTAAGTGGGTTACGCACATATAGTACACAGAATAGAGTCAGATAAGGTGAAGAACATAAAAATGAAATCTTTCAGAAACTTCCAAAAAATCTGTAGGAATTTATGATACAAGTTTTAAACTGTAATTGAAAAAAACTATGTTTGTTTATATTTTGTTTGTCAAATATATATTGAAATTTAAAAAAATGAAATGTAAATTTTTCTATTTGTTTATTTATAGTTCTTTCAATTTATTTATTTTTATTTATTATTATTATTATTAATAATCGCATATGGACCAATTCTGATCAGCCTTTTGGCTGTATCCTTTGGATAAGACAAAGTTGTTAGCCTTGAATATGAATTGGGGGATAGGATATTACTATTATTACTATAGGGTGATGGTAGGACGAGGACGTGTTAGGTGGGGAGGGAAACCACGAACGAAAACAAACCGTCAGGATGCCCGGCACGAGGGTCGAGCCCCGCCCGATTGCGAACCCCGCGCACTGCGCACTCTGCCATTTCGCACGGTTTCTTTTTCTTCAGTTTATTCTATTTGTTAATAGAATCGCATACATAAAAAATCATATATACAAAATTGTAACAAACTCTAATTACGTTTTGCAATAAAAATAAAATAGATTAAGAAAAATTACAGTAAAGACTTAATAATTTGAAGCAAAGTAAGAAAGGATTATAAATTCAAAATTAATTTCAAAAGACTTCTTGATTTTGATTGTTGTTATCAAAGAAATCAATATCACTGTGTTATTGATTGGTCTCGCGTGAATGTGTGTTGAATACATCATTACACATATAGTTTGTTCTAGTTAGATATATAAAAAGGTTGGTGAAATCTGTGGAGCATAAAGTCTCACTTCAAAAATAATATTTGGACAGTTCGTATGGCCAGCTGTAATGGAATGTAGAATCACGAGGTCGCGGTACAGCCTTCTGATAGCGTACAGATAGTCATTCGTGCCCGGCTATTCTCGTAATTGTGGTCTAGTCTTGATATGGGATTGTTGTCAATAAATGCCAATGTCTCAGAAATCTGTTCTGGACCCTTTCGGTCATTGTGGATGAAGCCTCAGTAAAGGGTGACCAGACTACCACTGCGCAACAGAAAATAATCTTCGAAAATCTTTCGCGGCAGGCTGGCTCGGGGGGTGCGGGTCGGGGCGTGTTGCAGGTGTCACAGCGGGGGAATGATATGTGCGACGGGCCCCAATTTGCAATGCGCCCAAAATTCGATAATGAGGTGACGCCGATCGACTTCATGGAAGTCGGTCACGTGAACAAGCGGCTAGTGAAGGAACGGCCGGCATCAGAGTTTGAACCGAATCGCGGTGCGGAAGGCACTTGTCACCCTCCAGGGTTATCGCTACCTTCGGCTGTGAGGTGTGGCTGTTCGCCACGGAACGGGAGGCCAGGAGCGGCGCTAAGGTTATAGCGCTGGGGTCTATCTCAGGCTGGGACGGGGATGCCTCAGGGATGTGCAGTGCTAGGAGTGCAGCGCTAGTTCTTCACGAGTGTGATTATTGGATACAAACATTGTAAATAAATGTGTACATAAGATCTCTCCGACGACACAGTATGCCTCGCGAAAAACATGTAATGCTTTTATTATTATTAATTATTATTATAATATTATTGTTATTATTGTTCCCGAAGCTCCCAGACGGTCATTCCTAACACTTTATTTATATCTAAATATTGCATATAAGGCAGTATCGAAAAAATAAATTTCAATGGATTTGCCAAAAAAAGTTAAGGTTTCAATGTAACCTCATCTGCACCAAAGAAACTGAATTCAAAACGGGCTTAAAACTGCCACAATCACCACAAACACTTTTTCGCTACTTTTTAGAAACTTAGGAGTAAATATTATTTAATGGAATTTTTATTGAACAAATATTTGGGTGATGTGGTGTCCATTCTATTCCACATCAATTTTCTGATCATAAAACATTGGTAATTTGACCAACACTATACCACAATCGGAAAGTCATTGATTTTACATTAAAACCATAGAAATATATACTTTTCAAATAGCAAAACTTGGAGAATTCTTATCCAAAATGCAAATGCGTATAAAATTAAAGCTTGAAATGTCTACTTTAAGAATCTTGTTTCGCACAATTTCACCTTCTCACTGCAACCGGCTACCAATCGAGCCGCGCCAAGTCAGAATTATTGTCAAAGATCGCACTTAGTGATTTCTTTATTCATCATTTGGCTCAATTGAACTCATTTGTCGAGATAACACTCCGGAGAGGCCGCAGTGCGCCGGCCGGAACGCCAGCCACCCTCCGCAGCCGCGGTTCGTCCCGGGGAGCGAACAGCTTAAGGCGGGGTCTTCTGGTGCCCCGACTCCGCAGCTGAGAAGGCAGCAACGAGCACAACTCCCGTCCCTATTAATTTACTCTTCGTAGGCATTACTGCGGTCTGTTTGTACACCAGGGCCTAAACCATTGCGAAGGTAGTATTTTCACCAAAATGGATTTTGCCCAATCGATACGGCTGGTGACAAAGTCCCGCGAATGTAAATTAATATTTTAATTTAGGGGAGCGGTCCCTGGCGTGCATCTTCACCACTATTTCAAATTTCCTTCAGGATGAGTTCAATTTTTGTTTACAAATTTTCTTCCTGGAATAGAGCAGAGTGCGCTTTTGCACAGGTGCTAGTTTTAGTAAAATATCCTAATTTTCTAAAGTAGCAAAATTAAAAAAAAAAAAAAATTGGATCCCCTTCTTTAAGCTGATTGATGACACGCTGACATACCCTGTGCTACCCAGAAATTTATTAATCATTATCTTCCACTAGACAGAGAGAGGAAATTAATTTTATCTACTCTGCCTCGCCCTCATCCACTGCGGCAGGCCCTGCGGTTTTCACCACGGTCATCGTCGCTATGGGCAGCTGTGCCCACGCATTTCGCATACTCTTGGCACACGCTCAGTAACAATTTGGACCCTTAAACACTCAAACTTTGTGAAAACTAATATTTTCAAAATATTGCGCATGGCATTATGTGAAGACCTAGTTTTGAAGAATAGATTTTACTGATCAAAATATCTTTAAAAATGTGTATTCCTCTATTCAAGCTAATTTAAAAAAAATCTCTTAAACAAAGTTTTGAAAATGTCGAACTACCCCAAACTTAAAATCTTCAAATCGGCCCGAGGAACATCAGCCACCTCGAAGGTCGTTTTCAGTGAAAATGCTGCGTGCGAAGTAGGCGCCTCAGTTGTACCATTTTTTATTATCAAAGTGTCATAGAACGTGGATTCTGACTACACTTTGTACTTGGGAAAAACATTTATTACCTACAGAAGCCAGAAAAATCCACTTTCTCGACATCAAAGGCCCTGAAAATGATTTTATCATTCGCACAATTCGCACTTTTCGCTGCAACATAAAACATCTCTAGACTACTGAGTAGAAACGAAAATTAGATTTCTTTCTTAATATTACCCACTGCTCAATATTAAACGTTTGGATCTTTTCACGAACCCTTTTCAAAATTGCAGTAGTTCTCGCGCAGTTTTGAGTTCTAGCGTTTGAATTTTTCAAGTACTGGCTATAGTATTGGGATGATAGTGGTTGCGGCATTTTAATTCCCCGTAATCGCTTTCCTTTATACGAGGAAGAATGAGGTGTTGCAGGACCTCTATTTTTTCAGTGGTTCAGAACGGACATAATAACATCTACGATTCTATAAAATCAATTGGATCTTCACAAATTAAATGTCTTCATGAAAAGCTTGCTTCTAATTTTTATGAATTACATTACTATTGTTTCACGATAGATGAAAATTGGCGAAAGATTTATATAACAAAACAAAATGCATACGACTTTTCAAAGACGAAGAAAAGGGAAATGAATTACCGAAATATAGAGAAAACTTCAAGCCAATGCTTAACGTGACGCAGCGCCTTTAAAAAACTTTGAAGGGGCGAAATGAAATTGGAATAAAAAAGGCGAGAGGAAGTTACAAAATCACGCCAGTGCGTTGGCTTGTGATTCTGATGCGCAAGTTGCCGCAACGCGCCCCGAGAGAGGTGCTCCAGACGGTCACACAACGGAGGCCTGGAGCTTCATTTCTGGCACCTTGCAAATCATCATACAATTATATTATAAATATACAAGTATTTGTATCAAATTAATAATTAATTTGGGGCGTGTTACGGGACCTGAAATTTACAAATCAAACACTGGATACACCTATACATATGTACACGAGATATATCTTTAAGTAAATATGAGCCTTACCCTCTTTCATAGCATCTCTTCAGTTCAGTTGCAAAAATACAAAATTCTCCAAAAGTGAGATAAGCTGCTGAACTTCGATTTGCACATTCCTTGGCACACTGCAACATTTCATACACTGAAAAACAAAACCAAGTGGTCAATCTACACAGTTTGCTCAAACTGGCTCAAATTTCCTTTCTCTTGATAATGGGGTAAGAAGGATGTATTATCTTCGACACGTTCGAGGTACGTATTGTTCACAAAGAGAGCAACAGCATTATTACGTATTGTTCACAAAGGCAGACAACGAATTAATTTTTTAAATTTTAATACCTGTCTGAATCTCTTTATCTTCACTAGTTTTTTCTACTACAAAATCATATTTGATCCAAAAATTACTGGATTAATTGATATTTAATTCTTTCAGTAATGAAAGTTTTGAAAATCATTGTTGATCTTGCACAAAGTCCTTTTCCATTTGTGCAAAGTACATGCAATTTCAAGAAATAATAAACAATTACTTCAGTTTATCTTACCTTGCGATTTGGACGGATATAGCTGCATATCATTGAAAAGTTGCTGCACCTTCTCTGAAGGAATATAGGAGGAGGTTCCCACACGTCCGTACCATGCTGAATACACCTCCCTGTGAACAAACACAACTGTGAGGCTCTAATATCTTAGATACGAATATATTGCAACGAAAATTAACATCTTTTTTGGACATGGTTACAATTAATTAAAGATATAAGTAGTTCTTCCAACATCAGATTGGTTCTCATACTACTTGCGATAATTACATAATAAAATACTAATTGAACACCTGTGAAAAGTTTGCAATTCTATTGAATACGTTTTCACGGTCAGCGACGGGGGTACATCGCTGTTGAGATTACATCCTTGAGTTACACTGGTCTCTACATCTTCAATCCACAAAAACGTTTACCCAGGGTGGGATTTAAGCACGGGCAGAGGTTGCCACGTTTAACGCTCTTGTGAAACGCTGATTCCATATTTAGCGTCACAAATGCATTAGCAGCACCGCTGATTAGTTCACTGGTGAAGAAGGAAGCAAGAATGGGCAAGCAGTATGGGCGGATTGTTGTTGTCACTGTTGCATAACTGTCAGGGAAGAAGACCGAGCTGCAACTGAAAATACGTTGAAAAAGAGCAAGAAACAGTTGCGCCGTTCGAGGCCATTAAGATATTTTAAGTTTCGAGGATATTTTACACGTCGCTTCTTACTTTTCAACATTTTCTGGAAAATGCTAAATTTTTTTTACCAACATACAAAAACATACAAATTACCCAACAGCGCTCTAGGCAACTGAACATCAATTCTTCAATTTTCAATGCGTCTAAGTGATTTTTGCTCTGTGTTGGCCCTTGGAGGAAGAAAAAAACTGGAATATGTAGTTCAGTTTACGTTCAGGAATTGCAGAAAATGACTAAAGATAGATATTGCGATATTATCAGTCTTCCTGTCCTTTTTATTATTTAATTTATCACAAAACCATTTTAAGTTAAGAAATAGTTTGCGCCTTGAAATTCCCGGTTTGCAATTCACTCTGTGGGCTGGTTATATTTACACTTAAAGCAATTCATCTGTTCATAGGGCTGTTGCCTTTACACGAGCCGGAACAAAACACGTTCACGCGAGAAAACCGGGATTTTTTATTTTGGAAAAAAACTATTTTACTATTGCCAATAAAAATACCCCTTTCAAATAGAAGTCGCAAGGCATCAATTATGTTGTGCTATTTATTTTTGACGAGCGTACCCGTGCGGGAAATTTCGCGTGGCTATGCCTATCCTTTCCCTATCTGTCCATTAAAACGGAAAGTTGTTAGTGAAACAATTTTATTTGTTTAAAAATGCATAAGTGTTTGTACTTACAAAATAGCAAACCAAAATAAAAACAATGCAATTGTCGTTGGAAACAAATGTTTCATAAAGGTTTATTCAGCATTATATAGATATGTTTTTCGAACAATTCACACTTCCTTAAAAACAACATTTAAAGTAATTATTCAATCTTCTTTGACAGTATTTCGTTTTCCTTGAGCCACAAAAATATTAGAAAATGTTTTTACTTTTGAGAAATCTATGCGACTGAACACGCTGACTTTAAAGTTTCACCGAAACACTGCTGATAACAAAAATACTCGTACAGGTAAAACACAAACCAAACCTAACAAAACTTGCAATGCTTTCACTACATTCATAAGAAAGAATCTTCATCGGAATCGAGCATTAGTTGTTGCTGCGAGAGCAACTCGTGATTTAATAATTATGCAAATAAACCTCGCCAGAACCTAAGCCTTCTAAGCGTGACGTCACGTCATGACCACACTCACTGCGGGTTGAAATATAGATTGCATTGATAGTATCGATACGTGACGAACCATCAAAAATTTAATACGATGTCTAAAAATATCTCATCCTATAGACTACGGTATGAGGAACGCTTCTTAGAGGCCTCAACATTTGTTTTCAGGCCCTCGAACGCTTTGATTACGAGTTCTTTGACTACATCTGAGAGCGGGTTGCATTTGACATGGATGTTTGGATGAGTTTTTTTTAAACAAATCCTTATTTTTCACGTCAACGTGCAATGCGTCAATTAGAGACCTCATTTACAAAGATCGGTTGCGTGTGAAAGCCGCAAAAGGTATGTATACTACTGAAATAAGGTAGGATGCGATAATTTTACCTAACTTCCTCTGTTCATGACATTTGACTTTTCAAATACATACAAATAATACTCTTCCTAAAAAATGCTATTTGCAATAAACAATAAAACATTTGTACCAAGATAACACACATTCATACTTTGAAGATTTCATATATCTATTCATTTTTCTCTTTTGCATACAAATGAATGGCCATTATTTATTTCTTTACTTGTAATTAAAATACAGAATTCTTGGGCCTTGTACACTTTTTAAAATGTTTTTTTGAAGTTTTTGAAGTTCACTTTTCATGGGAGAAGTGAAGTTCTCGTCCCCAGTGCTGTACGTCACGCGTGTACCACGCACCCGCTCTTCATCCGCGATTACTCCTCCACGTTCGGCCCCGAAAGTTTGCAAACCAAGATTTCTAAAATAAATGTTCCAAATATTTTTCGAGTATGACTTTCTTCCCACTGTCTGTCCTTAAAATTTTAAACTAAATTCCGTTTAAAAACGTCACTTCGAAATTGTCAATTTCTCCCGGACCACACCAAGCCCCATCCGCACTTATTTTGCCCGGAAACCCTCTGCCGAACAATACACGTGGTGTGTTCGTCAAAAGTTACCTATGCGTTTCAGATCTCACGCAAAAACTCTGATTTTCACTTTCGTTGACTTTTCAGATGTTACTATCCAGTATACAATGGGCCAAAATAAAATTCAGGTACGTAGCCGGAGGTACGTAGCTGCAAGGCGTAATAATTCGAAGCGACTTTCCCACATCACGTTAAAAATACTTAGAAGGCTTTGAAACCTCACTCTTATGCGCGTAATACGGAAATCCAAAAGTATCACAAACATACAAGCTTATCCTTTTTTTTTGTTTTTCTCATAATAGAATAGGAGTGTACAGCATTAAACCCAGGGCGAAAAGAAGGGGCTACATTCGCGAACAGAAGCGATGAGGCGAATGTCAATTGGGCATCATTAATTAGCTTGGGTATCATTAGGCAGCTGACCGTGTGGTGTGCTCCCATTGAGGCTTACACAAAGCAACCAGCATGGACAGTTATTAGTGACACACTTGAAATGCCATGTTATTTAAGTAGGAGCGACCTCGTACACAAAAGAAAATGCAGAAAACAAAGAACGGCTGAAGTAAAATTATTTTTTTAATAGGAATAGTGTTGACTGGAACAGTTTACCTACAGAGGTGGTAGTGACGTATCAGAAGCATGCAAGTTATGCGTTCGAAAGTTCTCAAGAGCGTAACATGTAATTGCGTTTTTCAGGTTAAGGAAAGACCAAGCAATGTAGCTTTATTGTGGAAATTATTGGGTAGTTAGGACATCCAGTGAAGTGAGGAAACTGGAATGGAATAAAGAAGGAGGGGAATATTATATTTACTTGTGGTATTAGTTAATTTATTTGCGTTATTTGTATTATATTTTAAATCTTTCATTATCACATATCACCAAGGGTTAGGTTAAAATTTGCTCCTCTATCTTGCAAGGACTAGTGTGCAAACACAAAACACAGCATATAACAACTGAAGGTGAAATTTGTGTCTTAGATCATCCCCCAGGACAGCAGCCATGGCAGAAGTGTGTTATAAAAGCAAAAGGAATTTGTTGCATCACTTCGATAATGCTCTGACCTACATTACTGAATTTCTAATGCGCACAAAAACTGAAAGAAAGTCTTAATTTCTGACATTTTGAGAGGTATATAGATTCATTAGAAATCGATCCATTATAATTTCAAGAGAATAGCGGAAGATAGAACACGATTGTCAGAGCATGAAGCACGAAGATTGAAAAACTGTGAACCTGGACAGGAGCAGACCGCAAAAAATGGAGAGAAATCGATAAAGAAAAAAGATAACACGAACAGGAACACACTAAATCAGTAAATAAATAGTTCAACGAAAGGCGACGTTTAAGTGAAGTGATATTAGACATGAACAACAAGAAGGGACCAGTGAGAAGTGAACTAGAAAATAAAGACTAAAAATAGTAACTATCAAGCTATCTAACTTATTTTAAAATACCGTACAATGTATTTACAAGAGCCTTTGAACTACTAAAGGATTTGAACAGGCTAATAATAATAATAATAATAATAATAATAATAATAATAATAATAATAATAATAATAGTTTAATTAAATACCCTGGAATTCGTAAAAACGTTAAAAACAATTAAATAGTTTCAATTTTGAGGAGAAAATGCAAACATCTGAGTGTTACTCCACCTGGTTTCATAGTGGGCGCACCGACTTAATTCTCGTGCTCTTTGATTCGTTGCTTCTGAAATGGCTGTCGTCATGCGACAAGGAGGCTCCAAGGATGAGGCGCCATTTAATATTTGCTATTCACGTGTTGCGTTTTTGAGCAGAACCTTATATGATATTTTAAGTATGTAAAGAAAAGTGATACATGCATTTTGTATAATAAATCACGTTATTACCGTGTTGATTAGTGAAGACCGTTTTGTCAAATTAAATTATTTACTATATTGCAGTGTTTTGGAGTATTTCAGTTGTTGAACAGTGTGCGTGATACTTTTGGAAAATTATTCTGAGTTGTTTTGCTCGGCAGCACTTTTGCTGCTAAAGGTTACTAGTTGTTAATAAACACGCATCTTATTTTAAATGCGGCCTATATCGGTCATAAACACAAACTGTTTCCAAGGTTTAAAAAAGATCGTCCATGTAGCCGATTGTGCAAGTGGTCCCTCGCTGTCCACCGTGCACCTCGTCGGCGCGCGGGCGATGAGCTGCCGGCTCCCGGTGCGTGCGAGGGGGCGCGCCCGCCGCCAAGCACAACACAGGAAGCCGAGGCATTCTTCGCCCGCGCGCGCGAGTCAGTGGCCGATGACAGGAGAGCGGAGCAGCACTGCTCGCCACAATTCGACTATTTCTGCTCCGGAAGGAGGGATGCAGACTAGTGACGTAGTTGCCTCTGGACAAGTGC